AATGTCAGGCGGTGTGCAGTGTGCAGGCGAGCACCGAGGGTCGGCCCGCCGCTGTGGCCTGCCCCGCCTGTCACACTGTCTTCTGCTCCAGCTGCAGGGGCCCCTGGCTGGAGGGCCACACCTGCCCCGAGGGCCAGCCCATGATGCTACCCCTGCAGTCCCCTGGAAGCAGGTCAGTCACTTGGTTTGGTTTCAGCTGCTCATAGAAGAAGTTTCAAAACGTCCCAGCACCATGCCAAAGTTTTTCCTTACTTTAAACTTGTTTCACATTTAGTCATGTTACAGTCACATACTTTAAAGTGTCCACTGCAAAAACGCAAGTAATTATTTTTAATCTAGTTCCTAGTCCAAATATCTTGATAAACAACAAATGATGTTTTTAATGCTCTCAGTGACGGAGCTTTAAATTATTTTGCATAGAAATGCCAATGCACTCCCCACTTTTCAGATTTCTATTTCTATTTTTCTTTTTAATAAGCCTGTAGCCTCCCCAAAACACTGCAAAAAACACAAAATCTTACTAAATATTTGTTTTTATCTAGTTCTAGTGCAAATATCTCAGCATACTTGAAATAAGACAAAGTTAACATACAGGTAACTTTCCAGCAAGACGTAGGAGATTGATTTAGATCAACAACTCCTTAGTCTAGTTCCACTGCTAGATTATTTCACCTATAGCATGAGAAAATGTCCTGTTATAAGTGAGATAATCTGCCAATAATTTAGTACAATTTTACCCACATTCAAGAATCATTGACCTAATAAAAGCTCCTATATATTTCTACAAAGTAACTTGAAAGTTAGTTTTGTCTAATTTGAGGTGTACTGAGATATTAGCACTAGAAATTAGATAAAAATAATTGGTAAGATTTTGTGTATTTGCAGTGTTTTGGGGGTGGGAGGATTACATGATTATGAAAAAGAAAAATATAAATAAAAATCTGAAAAGTGAAGAGTGTGGTGGCATTTCTACGCAAAACAACTTAAGCTAAATCTGGCCGCATTTTCCAGCACACTGAAAATGTTAAAAAGATCATTTGTTTTTCCCTTGAGCCCAGCGATGGGACCTGCGCTGAATAAATCTATTATCTCAGCATTAATAGCTTGGTATTCCTCAGCAGAGCCTTCAGTGTGCTAGTGTACAGCTGCATAATCTGCCTTGCTGTGGCTGTGCCAGCCTGGCTGATGTCATCAGGGAGCCACTGAGTTAAACTGGAATTTCATTGTCTCTGTGCCAACGGGAGGAGGAGGAGGCCTGGAGGGCACAGGGTGTGTTAGAGGCTGCAGTGAAGGCCGAGTGCTGAGGAAGATAAAGAAAGTGAAGGAAATTCCCCTACAGAGTTTAGCTCAACAATGTCATACTTCACTTAGACGCTTTGTTGTAAAACTCCTACATTTTTTAAAAATACTCCAGAGATTCCCCCTGCATGCGTCCCCCCCCCCCCTCCTCATTGTTTTATTTTTATATCCTGTATCTTTACAGCTCTACTGCTCGGGTTTCTTCCTCTTTAACTTCTAAATCCACAGTAATCAGAACAATGGCCGACCCAGCAGAGCGACAGACTCTCAAAGTCCTTCCCTGATTCTGCTGCTGTCCTGACCAATCAGAGCAAGTCTCAACTCCTCCATAAATCCAGATTTCACTTTGTCGTGGGAGTGCAGAAGCCCCATGTTCCCGAAAACGGAATACTGATTAATCATGGTGAACCAAATATTGGAATGATCATGAACGAATTTAGTGATCGATTAATCGTTAACTGGAGAATGCAGATTCAAAAAAAGAAAATTTGTTGAAAGAACAACATAGTCAGAGCGATAATTAAGCCAAAGCGTTGAAAAAACATCCATTTTGCATTTAAGATTTATAAAAATGTTTTGATGTAATTATGTTCTACATAAAATTCAAGTGGCAGTTTTAGCTTCATACATTTCAAATTCTGCTGAAAAAAAATCTATTCATCAACTTTTGCTAATCGGTTATTAATCAGTGAATCAAAACAATAATAATCAGCAGATCAGTAACACACTGTGTTGATGTTCAGTCCAGCAGAAAGTCCTGAGATTTTCACATGTTGATCTTAGAAGTTTGTTTTAACTTCAGATTCATCCTTTACTACACTGAAAGAATGCTGCTGCTGCTGCTGCTGCTGCTGCTGCATATTGGGCAATAAAATTCAGTTTTTATTTTAAAAAGGATTCAAATTATTATTATTATTTTTGGCATCATCTAATGTATTTCTAATGTATAGAACAACTTCTGTAGCTGAATGAAAAATGTGCAGAATGTGCTGGTTTTTTTGTTGTTGTTATCAAATTAATAGATGAATTATGACAGTAACGGTTATCTGTGTGCCTGACGCCTGGTTCTCCACAGCGACCCGGAGGAGTCCATCAAGCAGTGCCCCATGTGTGGCGTTTACATCGAGAGGAACCAGGGCTGTGCACAGATGCTCTGCAAGAGCTGCAAACACACCTTCTGCTGGTACTGCCTGCAGAATCTGGACGTGAGTGGCCACACACACACACACACGCACACACACACACACGTGCATGCACACTCACTCACACACACACAAAACAATTGCTGACATGGTTCCAGAGGTGGGTAGAGTACCCAAAGATTGTCCTCGGGTAGCGCTACTTCAACATGTTTTTACTCAAGTAAAAGTAAAAAAGTATTAAAAGGAAACTTAAGTACTAACTGGTGAACACATGAATCATCTAATATTCAAATCATCTTCAGACGGAGCCAAATATAGAGTTCTGTGGTATTTCAAAGACCAAGATGAATACAATTCATGTAAATAATATAATTTCAAAACAACAGCATCAGGAAAAAGAAACATTTCTCCAAATCAAATTTATTTCAACTTAAAACTTATGAAACTTGGCAAAAACTGCCGGTGTGTGTTTGTCTGGTGAATTTTTGATTAAAACGAGTTTTAAAGTGACTCCAGTGGGTGGAGAATCCAGACATTTTACTCAAATCAGAGTAGCGATATTTCATAATAAAGTTACTCAAGTAAAAGTAAAAAGTACAGCATAGCAAAAGGACCATTTTTTGCCAAAAACGTACTCATGTAAACTGTGTAAGTGTAACTAGTTCCTGCCCAGCTCTGCACGGTTCTGAACACACTCTTCTGTAACTGGTGCTTACGTCCCGTGTTTCCCTGCAGGGGGACATTTTCCTGAGGCATTACGATAAGGGCCCCTGCAGAAACAAGCTGGGACACTCCAGGGCCTCTGTGATGTGGAACCGGACCCAGGTGAGCTCACACTGTGTTTCCTTCAGGTCATTGTTAGAGCGGATTAGCCTTCAGAGGCAGGAGTGTGAGCCGCCCAGGTTCTGAGCCTCCCCTCCCCTGGAATCATAACCCTTCTTCAGCTTTTATAGAGTTTGTTTCCGCTCTCTGTCAGAGACAAGTTCTCACCACAGAAATTGAAGCAAAGCAGTAAAATTTCCATGACGCGGTTCTCTTTATTTAGGAGCCAAAGAAGCACTGCTTTCAGCCCTCGTCTATCAGATCCTATGTTTCTATCTAAGCGTCCAAACTCCGCCCTGCAATGAACGGGACACGTCCCGCTTTCTGCTCTAAACTCCCTTCAGCTCTGAGCTCTGTTGTTTTGCCCATACACGTTTTGCTTCGACATGCAGGCCGCTGTGTTTATTCAACATGCTCTAAATTTAAACGCAACACCGATGACGACCCGGCTGACCAGAATATGTGATATTTTTCCAACCTTCAGCTTTGTTACAGGAGACGTCAACATGAGCTATCTCATGTTTTGCCACAAACTCCTGTATATTATATCAGATTCTTATGTGACAAAGTAGAACATAAATGTGATGTTAAAAGGAAAATTATATACCAGTATGAATATATTTTAACAAAATAAAAACCGGAAAAGTGTGGCGTGCTTTTTTTAGAACCAATTTTGGCTCTAAAATAAGGGAAGCCCATATTGTATGGAAAGTATCTGTGAATATATTTTTAAATCTATCCTCAGAAGTTCAATTGGGTTTAGGTCTGGACTTTGACTGGTCCATTCCAACATGTAAACATGCTGGTAGACTACTCTGTCCTGATTAAAAAGCCTCAGTCTCAATGCTTTAGCCCAGGGGTGGCCAAGTCCAGTCCTCGAGAGCCACCATCCTGCAAGTTTCAGATGCATCCCTGCTTCAACACACCTGAATCAAATGACTGGCTCGTTATCAGGCCTCTGTAGAGCTGATCCCGGTCTGTTGGAGTAAGGATACTTCTAAAACTTGCAGGATGGGGTCTCTCGAGGACTGGACTTGGCCACCCCTGCTTTAGCCTCTAAGCTGTTTCATTATGCTCATGTTTACTAATTAGGTGGCGTGTTAAGGCGGCAACTTGCTGAGGTTTTTAAAGTGACACACACCCAATTTCAAGGTGCTAAAACAAGAAGTCAAATTTCTTTTAAGTTATGTTTGATATATTCAGCATTTATAAAACTGAAGGTTACATAGTTACCTGATTGTGCTATTAAAAGAATCCAGACATTTTACTCAAATCAGAGTAGCGATATGCCTGGAAAATACATAAGAATTTTTTTTTTTCTGAGAAAATGTCACCTAAAAGATAAAATAAATAAAACCATCCATCTGCATCAACACGAGCGGCCCCCGCGCCGCACTTTGATCACCCCTGGCTTAATGCATGTTTCATAGCAGCTTGTCTTTGTGGACCAGGTGGTGGGCATCTTGGTGGGGGTCAGCATCATCGTCCTGGTGACGTCTCCGCTCCTCCTGCTGGCGTCGCCCTGCATCCTGTGCTGCATGTGCAAACCCTGCAGCAGGAAGAAGAAGAAGAAGAAGAGGAAGAGAGATCCCGGCCTCCCAGAGCCCCCCTCCTCCTCATCGTCATAGCAGCTTCAGCCCCCATGTGCCTGAACCGGGATGACTCCACTGGCCTCATGAACACCAGAAGGTGCAAACTGCTGGAAGAACTTTGCAAATAAACTTTTATTTTATTTTATTTTTTTTCTCTAAAGACTGCAGAGCCTTCAGCAGGCTGCCTTCATAAATAAATCACTGTTTCTGTGTAAATATGTGGAATGTAAGTCCGTGGCCTTGCAGCGGTTACCGTGGCAGCCTGGAACTGGACGCCTGGGACTCGAATGTTTTCCTGCACAGGACTCTTTTATTTTTTTCTTTCTGCAACGCTCCTCTACACACACACACACACACACACACACACACACAGTTGAAAGTGCAAAGCCACCCTCATGTGCCAAACATCAATGATGCCAAACCAGAGGCGTTAAGGGCTCAGGTGCCTCTCTGCAGTGCCAGCTGCTCGGTCCGTTTCGTTTTGCCTTCCATTCTGCTGATTTATTATGCAAAAAAAAAAAATAGACTGCAGATGTAATCATGGGAGAAGTTTTAGGTGATATAAAAATGTTCTTAATATGTGAAGGCAAATGATGTAAGTCTGTATGGAGATGAGATGTAATAAGCAGGGCTTTATGGGCGTTTCCACCTGACTTATGTTCCAGACCAAAGGCTGTAATATAAAACCTGTACTTTGCAAAACGTGTTAATTTAATATTTATGATTTATCTGTCTGTTATGTCATTTCTACTTTTTCTGTTGATGTTTCAGCGTTTTCTAAATGCACCATTACAAATAAAAAAAACCCCTAAAAGTTGGATCTGACGGTTTGTTTCTCATTACGGGAGAGGAAATGGAGACCGGGAGAGGACCTTCAACAGATTTACTTCCTGGGTTTGTTTTTAGTATTTATGTGCTGGGATATGAACTCTGATCAGCTCAATCATGAACACATGAACACGCGCACACACACACACGCATACGCACGCACACGTACACATGCACACACAAATAAAGGGAAATTTATAGCAATCAATTACCCTAATAGTCTTCAGCTTTTGCACGTCTGCGGGTTGAAATTTAGCCAATTCTTGTGCACATTCACCTGATCTCAGACTGGATGAAGAGCATTTGGGAAAATAAATTTTAAAGCTAGCCACAGATTCTCAGTTTTAGCTAGGTCACTAGGCCATTCTAAAACACAGATATGCTGCGATTGATTTCATTTAATCAAAGCTCTATTTCCATTTAGATCTTATATTTCCTAAAACTAGCAGATGGAAAGAACAGAGCTCCAAACAAAGCTCTGTTCTTTGACATAAGCTGCTTTAAGCAAATGTAATCCTTGGTCTTTATGACTCTGTTTGGTCTCCAGGAACTAATGAACCTTTGAGGCTTTCACAGAACATCTGTTTATTGACGAGGTGACACCGGACTTTAACTTAGGTTATTATTGTAAAAGAGGGTGACGTTTTTCATATTTTCATTTGTAAAAATCTTTATAAACATAATTTTTCTCCCATGTTCTAATTGTGGTCTACTTCATGTGGTCTACAAGCTTCCTATAAAATACTTAATGTTCGTCATAGCAACATGACTGAATGAAAAAACTGTTTTATTTGCAAGGCACTGCTCTTCTGAATGAATCAAGTGGTTTAACAAACTATAAACTGAACCCATTAAAACTGTGAGGCGCAAAGGCTGAAATCAGTAAAAAGAAAAAAATTAAAATATTTAATGAAAAATGTTGAAAGATGCAAATATCTGATTTTGGAAGCAAAATAATTTCTATAAGCTGGACTTAAAAAAGAATCAAACACTGAAGCAGCAGACTGTAAACTGTGTAACACGTGACTTTTGGATATTGTCTTCTTCTACAACGTGAGACTTGAGGGGGTTTGTGAGACCACAGCAGTTTTCATCGCATATGAAATAGTCACGTGATTCAGCCGACAGAGCAAAACAAAACAACGTGCTTTCAAAAGGAAACAGTGACACCTTGTGTCCGATGAGCGAACTGCGCAGTTTTTATAAAGTTCCGTGAAAGTTTTTGGTATTCTACGTCCAAAATGAAAATAATTCATGTAAACAGCATAATTAAAAAATAACAAAGTCAAGCAAAAGAAATACTTTCCCGAATCAATTTATTTAAATATAACAACTTATAAAACTTCAACAAAAGCTGCATTTGTGGTGAATGTTTGGTTATTTCACGTTTGTTGTTCATTCAGTGCAGACGCTCTCAGTGGGTAGATGATCCAGAATTTTTCAAGGAAGAGTAATGATACTTCATAATAAATTAAATGTAAAAAGTACAGCTAGTAAAACTGCTCCTAAAAGTGAAAAGAGGCTTTAGATGGATGGATGATGAATGGATGGATGATGAATGGATGGATGGATTGATTCTTCACTATTAAAAAGTCTTGATGTGACAGGAATTTTGTCACATCATGCTAGATCTGATTCTACTGCAGCTTCAGAAACTTAAAACAAACATCTCCTCTACTCTAGAGTTTTTGTTTCTGTTTATTTTCAGGAGAAAAGTCTGGAATTTGCCGAGTAGCAGCAAGTAGGAAGTATTGATATGAAATAAATAAAATACTTTGTCTTTATTGAAAATATTTCTTGAATTGATTGTTGGTATTGATTCTACAGGATGCCTAAAAGACTATATATATATAAAGTTAATCCAATCAAATAATTCAGCAGTGATGTGTTTTAAACAGAAAACCTTTGAAGCAAAGTGAAGGAGTCGTCCTGTTTGCTGACCACTTCATTCAGACACACACTTCACACTTCACAGAACTTCACCAACTCAGAGTGAAACCTTCTCCATATGGGAAGTGAAGTCTCCGCTTGTTCCTGAAAAACTTAAGACTCAAGGAATTATCTCCAGTTCGTATCAGTCATATTTCAAACACCGTCTCCATATAAGCGGTAAGAGATTTAGGATTACATAATTTCCATGAGGAAGCCAGTCAATTTGTCCAAATTTAAACAGGTTACAGGTCAAAACTTGAACTTGTGTCACTACAAGAGATATTTTATTGTTTGGCATTTTTGTTACACTTTCTCTCAACAACGTCATACAATTATTAAGTCAACATTTTATGATAAGTAATGTAGATATACAATATTTCCAACATTTTCAGACTTAACTAGCTCAGACACAGAAAGAAATTCAGAAAGAGCTCTCACTGTGCGCTTTTTCCTGAGTCATATGTTTTCTTTACGGCATTCTGGGTTTACCCAAAGAGTGAGCCATCCTGTCAGATCTCACAGAGTACATCTTTTCTGTCACTTCTGCTTCGGCACAGGAAAAAAAAGACGAAATAAAACGCGTACCTTCCATTGACATCACATCATACTACCAACCTGCCCCGCGGTTGTCCAATCAGCGAACCAGAGGACGCGCGGTGGTGTCCCCGCCGTCCAATCAGGGCATAGCGCGAGCTCTGCTCACCTTGACGTCGGTCCTGATTGGAGGGCCGCGCGGAGCAGCAGACAGAGCGAGGCCCCAGCCAATCTAAAGTGCCCTCTGTTTGTTATTATCATAAAATATTCAGCAGCGTCTCTCCAACTGTCTGCGACCAGCCTCTGCCATCGGGCTTCTTCATTTTTTTGTTTATTTTTTTTTTCCGGCAACAGAACAATCTAAAACTTTTTTTTTTTTTAAACTTCGCAGGCAGAAGATTTTATTTTAAGTATTTTTTTTTAAACTATTTTGAAACAATGTGGACCTTTTTGGGAATTGCAACTTTCACATATATTTATAAAAAGTCCAACATGCTGCTGAATGTGGCTCACAAGGAGCTGCTGCTGATAGCAGCTCTGTTCCTCTCAGCTGGACTGCTGATCTCTTACATTAGATTTGTTCAAGGTCACAAACTGTCAGTATCTCAGATAGTTTATTTGCCTTTGAGCATCTTGTCGGCTCTACCTCTGGTCAAACACTTCATCCCTCAAACTGCAGCTGAAAGCAGCAAGAAAGCAGAGAAGAAGAAAACTGAAAAGGTAAGTCAGCAGAGATGCTTTACCTTCTGCTGGTTTAGTCTGGCTGGGTTTTGTTTCTGTTACTATGAAAAGTCTAGAAAAAGGTTTTTTAATTTGCAGAGTAAGAGAACAAGAAGAAGAGCGGAACCGGAGTCCTCAACCTCACAGTGTGCCCCAGTCTGTGGCTCCTCTGAGGGCCCGGGGCCAGATGTGGTGGTAGTCGGGGCCGGAGTCCTGGGCTCGGCCATGGCGGCTGTCCTGGCCCGGGACGGCAGGAGGGTGACGGTGGTGGAGAGGGACCTGAAGGAGCCGGACAGAATAGTAGGGGAACTGCTCCAACCGGGGGGCTTCAGGGCCCTCAGGGACCTGGGACTGGAAGGTCAGTTACTGCTGGGAGAAAACTGCCCAACATGCTCCACCACTCAAGTTTGAATTGTTTTTTTCCCCCCTTTGCTAAGCAGAAAGTTATGTTATGATTTTCTGAAAATGTGGCAGGACATTACATAGATAAAACAGAAGAGGGAGACAGTGAGGACAGGAAAGAAAGAAGAGAGAAAAAGGAAGGCAACCACTGACTATATAAAATAAACATATAGAAATTGAACATGTAGAAAATGTGACACCAGTATTTCTACCGACCAATCGGAAGAAGTTATCTGATCTTATGCAGAAAGCACCACAAAGGTCAAACAGTTATGACCTTCAGTCATGATGAGTCAGATCAGATTCAAAACCTCAGTCTGATATAATAAGACTCATTTTTTCTGAGTCTCACTAACACTTTAAAATAGCTTAAATAAATTAATTAATAAATAAATGAATTTAACTCAATTCAGAGGGAAAAAATGACTGTAAAAGAATCACTGCTGGCACCATTAATACTCCTGCTGTAAATACGAGCTCCTTTAGTCAACAAGGAAGCACTAAGTCTGTTTTAACATTTCAGAACAGAGGAGGATACTGAAAGCTTTATTTAATTATTATTTTATGTCTTGTAAACATGATAACCATGCGAGACACTGAAAATATTAGTCCACCATTGGCTCAGAGGAATTATACTGAGGGAAACAGAAAGTTATGGTTTCAATAATCAAAACATGTTTGTTACATCTATTTTTAAACAGATTGTTAATGGTACTAATATTCATACCATCAGTGATTTTATGAAACAGAATTAATATAAAATTAATACATACATTTTCTCAAATTAAAAGTTGTGTCTTGCTGCAATTTTCAATGTAAGATTAGGTTCTCCGATAAATTGTAAATTTATTTTTAGGCTTTTCACACATATTCACCAGAAGTGATAACAAATACATCTGTGTCTGTATTTCTGCTGAATACTTCATTTACAATGTGTTTTTAACAAATTAATTTTAATCTACCTTCAAGCAAGACAATTAACTGAGTGAAAGTTAATTCTGCCTGATCAAAAAGGTGTTAGAATGAGCTGCATTAAGGTAGAACAGATGGTGAAGGTTGAAGCACTTCAGCGCTTCTGTTGAATCTACTTTTTTGTTAGATTGAGCCTTTGGACATATAAGATGTGATATGGCTCCTCTAGCATTATTCTTGAAGAATTTTAATAAAAATAATAAAGTCGACTAGAAACTCAGATTCCTCCTGTAATAATCTTTATTCAGAAAAAAATACGGGATTTGCATAATATACGGATTATTTGTTGTGCACATCGCCCTGAGCTTAGACAAGGCCCTATGCAGAATTTGATCTGGAGGGAACTTCCAATTAAGCTAATTACCCACCAACACAGTTAAAAATGAAACATTAGTCATATTTGACCACTGCTTCACTAGACTAGCTTCATGGTTAATTGTTGAGCTGATGGCGGTGCTTCAGAACAGACTCAGTAGGAACACGGAAAACAGACTAAATTTTGTATTTACAGGTATTGGCACAGAAAAAATATAATTTTGAAAGTGTTTAACTTATACAAAAAATACAAATTTCTCATCTTATGTATGAAATTTTAAGCATTATTGGGGCCCCTTCT